TAGAAAATTGGTAATAAGTTATTAGAAATATTTTAAATTTTTAGTAATTACAAAAATAGTTAGTAATTAAAAAATTATTAATTTTCAAAATTATATTTAGCAATTAAAAAATTAATTAGTAATTAAGTTTATTTAGTTGTTGATTAACTAAAGGTGTTAAGTAGTTACAAAATTAATTAATAATTAAAAAATTAATTAATTTTGTACAGAAAATAAAAAATACGGAGATGGAAGGACAATTCCCCTCCATTTCCTTAACAATTTTCAGCATTTCCTAGCTATCCTAGACTAATTCTCCAATCTTGCTTGCTATATAGAGATGGCGTTGCGGAATCGCGAGGAGTGAGACCTGGTAGGCGTAGGAGCTGGTCCTTCAAGACATTCGAAGGGATCGATCGGCCATAGAGAGCATGCAATACGCATGGTGTGTGTGTGTGTGTGTGTGTTATAATGATAACAAAATAATTAATTAAATATTTAAGTATATTTAATACATTTACGTATATGTGTTTCAATGTGAGGTGTTGGGTCTTGAATTCGATCCTTACGAGGTTTTCTTGAGGATTCATCAAAGAAAGATCAATTATCAATATGTCTTCGTCGATCAATGGTCAAGAATTATCGATCTAAGTTATTAGTTTATAACGTTATTTCATACATATTAATTTATAACGTTATTTTACATAGTCGTTTAATATTATGTCTTTCACAATTATATAGGAAACCGTAGAAAGATTAATAAATGAGGAGGAGGTTGCTAAGCTGGCGGATCGGAGGGACTTCATCGACCGACATCAACATTAATGAGATTTTTAGGAAGGCCATTGGTGGAGGATATAGTAAGAGGAAGAGGATGTTCGAACTTTGGTCACACGCATCTCATTATTACTCTAATGTCGATACAACCTCCGGTTTGACAACTTTATGGTTCCATATTGGTGATGAGGTACAACGAAAGGAAAGCGAGGATCGACCTGTTGCAAATATACAAGAGATCCATGAGCTACGGGTACTATCACAACGTCGTTGGCTACAACAACTAAGTTGAAGGAGTACACTCGATAGTAATATGTGATGATGACATAGATGCAGCAGATGTTCTTACAACATTTTCAACAAGGTGGTAGTTCATTCGTCTTGTCTAACACCGATGACGACTTCACTCAACCTCCGAGTGATGATCCTGCTAATCTCTCCTAGCTATCATGTTTTCTTGTAATAACAACAAACTTTCTACTTTTTTTAAGAATTTAATAATTGAATAATATTTATTACATTTTAATAAATTTTATAATAAAAATTATAAAATTATAAAATATTATATTTTGGGTATTTTGTAGACTTTTAAATAGCAATTGATTAGTTTAAAATAAGGGTTTTTAAAAAAACTGAAAATAATATCATAGCGACGAAATTAGCGATAGTTTTAACCGTCGCTAATTAAGAATTATAGCGACAAGTCCTAAACCCTTGCTAAAATCGTCACTAAATTGCGATGGTTTTAGCGAGGGTTTCTTTGTACCGTGACAATATTTTTTCGCTTCTACAACCATTTTCTGCCATGATTTTTTTAGTTTTGCGATAGTTTGGGCCGTCGTTAATTCATCGCAAAAATTTAGCAATTGACATTTTACGAATGATTTTCGGATCGTCGCAAAACCGTCGCTAATTAAAATTAGCAATGGATTTTGCAGAATTAGCAACGATATAGACCGTCGCTAATTCCATTATTTTTTGTAGTGACAATAGGACATTTCTCATCATCATCTTGAATAACGGTAGATTGTTCATTAGAAACCATCCCCCACTAAAAACATCCTCTTCAAGACCACTATGACTGTCTCCCACCAATGTCTTTGTAGGAACCCTTGCGGGTGGATTCATCACGATTATTGATCTCAGCATGAAGTTTGATATGCGTGGGAATAGTCCCAAATGTGCCTTCAAGATCAGAGCGCTTGACTATCTTGTCACTACGTATGAGACATGAAACCAGCTTTTTCTGAGATTTTGCACCTTTCAAACGAGGTGCTCCTCCCACGAGTTAGGGTTGAGAGGAGAGACAGACTTAAAAGGTTTATCCAAGTCGATTTAGGAGAGAACGACATGACTAAATTAGTATTTTGCTTGCCTATTCCAATTAATCATCCATTATTTTCTCAATGTTATTAAATATTTATGAAAATTTTTTTTTATATATATATATATATATATATATATATATATATATATATATATATATATATATATATATTCATCTTGCAATTCAAATCCAATTGAATTGATCAATTAACTAAATTTTACAAACACAACGTAAACTTTAACCAAATTTCAATGGATAATACATATGATCCTGATCATATGCTAATTAATTTTTGTTTATGAATGACAATAGATCATCTCTTTTTCAATTATTGCGTTATATGAAGATTAGACAATCTACAACATAATGCTACCACAAGGTACCTTGACAAGAAAAGAAATGATTATTGTCATCAGAGGAAGCATTATGGCGCGCTTTTTATGAATACTTAATTGTATTTAATTAATATTATTGTTTACCAACATATTAATTTTAGGAAATTTCAATTATATTCATTCGATCTGCTCCTATTCCTAGTTATCAAATCAAATACTACTATATTTTTCCAGAGAGATATGGCCTGATTCACGATTATTGATGGGAGGGAGGCTGTGGAATCGATGATTGGTAAATTTGTTGAGAAGCAGAGATAACAAATTGAGAAGGAAAGTTACAGTAATGATTCCTTGCTGAGCAAATCATTGATTAATCGATTAAGGTAATTTTCTATATATATATATATATATATTTGTAATTGAAATCGATTTCTTTTTTTCTTTTTTTTCTTTTTTTCTAAAATTCAAAAGGTTGATTTCATATTTTATGTAATATAATGCAATATTACTCCGATTTATTATAACAATTAATTTTCTCTTTTTAAAAAAAAGAATAAATTTTTTCTTTATTATATTGGTTTTAAAACTAATGAATTGCTGGTTTGATGTTTTGAGAGCGTGACCCTAATGAATCATTGCAAGCAATTAATCCTAACTCAATGATTTTTGGAGGTGCTGCAAAAGGTTGTTTATTTTTTTATTTTTTTATTTTGGGTTTTATTTTGGGTGGGTGTTGCAAAGAGAGGTGGAGAATGTGAAAAAAAAAAAAAACCAAAAGAGTTTGAATATGTGTCAATATTTAGTCAAGGTTACTGAATAGTTAACTTGTAACTTTCTTTTTTATCAGATAAGAATTAAACAAAAGCGGTTTTAAAAATAAAAAGTTGATATTAAAAAAAAAAAAAGTATAAATTAAGAATAGAATGATACATAAAAACTAGTTTAATGGCAAAAATTATCTCCAAGTTAACTACTACAATTTGACAATTTTTGACTTTTACTATCAATTTAGTTTAATTGAACTCCAAACTATTATTATTTTTTTTTTGACAAATAGAATCTTTATCTCGTTATCTTTACCTGTAAACTCTTCCACCTTTATCATATATATATTTTTTAATTTAGTTAGCTTACTCAATATATATATATATATGTGTGTGTGTGTGTGTGTGGTTGCATAGTGATTATTTGTTAGATTTTAAAATTAATAATGCTCAAAAAAAATTTAAAAGTACAAATAATCACATAGAAAAAATAAAAATACATATATTTAAATAAAAATAAAATATAAATTTTTTCTAGGAAATATTTTTATTAAATTCATGCTGACATAACCTAAATTGACTAGATTAAAAATAAAATATTTAAATCTAGTATTAACTAGATTATCATTAATATAAAATTTTTCTAACCAAGTATTTTTATTAAATTCATGCTGCATAACCATTATTTTGATTATATTATAAATAAAATAAAATGTGTAAATATAGTATTAATTAGATTGTCATTATTATAAATTTTTAATTTTTTTTCTAATCAAGTATTCATGTTAAGTTTATACTGACATAACCATTAAATTAACATATCAACATACCGATTTATCTATCACATAAGCATGTACATTTTATTTTATTTCTCATCAAGAGATTGTACTTTTATTTGTTTATTTAAATACATATATTTTTATTTTTTATTTGATTATCTGTATTTTTAATTAGTATTGTTAATTTTAAAATCTAACAAATAGCTACTATATAATCTTATGTAAATCATATTTTAACTAAATTAAAGAAAACATGGAATGTTAACAGTTGACCATTAACAATCAGCTTTTTGACTACTATAAATAGGGAGTAAGAATTACATTTATAAAAAAAATAATAATTTATAACTTAAATCGATAATAAAAGCTTAATATTACAAAATCTTAATAGTTTGGGGGCAAATTTTAAATCTAAACGCACATAAACTTTTAAATACGGTAGATCGGATCTGATCCTTGCAACACAAATAGAAAAAGCCTAAGAGCGCCAAAATTTGGCGGCCACTTAAAAAATTCAAAATTTCACGGCTAAATGAATTCAAAAACACCAAAAATCTCAAAAGGCATCAAACCCCTCTCTTTCTTCTATCCTCCCCACTTTCTTCGTTTTTATTTGTGCTTACGCTCCTCTCTCTCTCTCTCTCTGTCTAGATCTGGGGGTGTTAGTATCGAACCCGTGAAGAGGGTTTCTCACTTTCGTCAGCAAATCTCAGGTACTTCAACTCCACTTGATTGAAATTCCTCCCTCTACCATCTCGTTTTCTACGAATTTTGAAAACAATCTCTGTCTATCGAGCTCGTCGCTTTTTTTCTTTTTCTTTCTTCGACTTGTCTGGTTCGTAGAAATTGCAGACTAAGTAGTTGCTCTTTCAATTTGCCCTTTTAATCTGATGTGCAATTCAAAGTAGTTTCTGTTTAACCTCAAATCTGTGTGTACCCAATTGACCAATTATGACGTAAAAATTAAGAAATTGATATAAGTTCCAATTGGGATTTTTTAATTTCAATTTAGAATCATATCATTTTTGTGGAAATAATTATGGTTAGAGAGCAAAGGGTAGAGTCTTTTTACACCCGCCTCCGAGAATCTGTTTCAGCTTCCTCTCTCTCTCCTCTGCTTATATTTCCTTCAACTTCTGATGCAGATTCCCTCTGTGCTCTTAAAATCACTTTCCACATTCTTGAATCTGATTCCGTCCGTTACGCTTGTTATCCTGTTTCTTCCTTCCAAGAAATCCACAAATACGCGGGCCCTGATTTGACTTCACCATCTAACCAACCCATTTCTATCCTCTTAGTGAATTGGGGTTGTCAGCGTGACCTGAGGCGGTTACTCGATTTAGGCCCTGCTGCACGTGTTTTTGTGATCGATAGTCACCGCCCGATCCATTTGCATAACTTGCATGAGCAGAATGAGAGTGTTATTGTTCTTTATACGGGCGACGACGAGCAACAAGCTGATTTGGCATATGATTTTAAAGTTTCGGAGTTGGCTAATGCGACTGAGTTGAATAGTGATGACGAAGGGGAAGAAAATTCTGACAGTGAAGACGATGAAGATAGTGAAAGTGAGGGAGATGATGATGGCCGTGATGATGGGTCAAGGAAGCGGAGGAGGGTTTCTAATGAGGATGAAGCTGACCCAGTTCAGCTTTTTAGGAAACTGAAGAGAGAGTATTATCGTAGGGGTACTTTCCATGGAAAGCCCTCAGGGTGTTTGATGTATGATTTATCGCATTCATTGAGGAAGAACACGAATGAGCTGCTTTGGTTGGCTTGTGTTTCGCTGACTGATCAGTTTGTTCATGAGAGGTTGACGGATGAGAGGTATCAAGCTGGGGTTATGGAGCTTGAGCAACACATTAATAGTTCTGGGAATTTGGAGGCAGTTACTGTGGTGACCCTCAAAGATGGAACAAAGATTCGAGCGCCTGAGTCCTCAAGGATTGCCTACGAAGATGAACCTAGACTTATGTTGTTGAGGGAGTGGAATTTGTTTGATTCAATGCTGTGTTCTTCGTATATTGCTACAAAATTGAAGACATGGAGCGACAATGGAATGAAGAAGCTTAAGCTTCTTCTTGCTAGAATGGGATTTGCCCTTGTGGATTGCCAACAAAAGTTTCAGTACATGAATCTTGAAGTGAAGCGAAAGATGAAAGATGAGTTTGAACGATTTTTACCTGAATATGGGCTTTCTGATTTTTACTACAGGAGCTTTCTAAGGCTACATGGTTACAGCTCCAGGGTGTCTGCAGCAGATGTTGTGTATGGTGTCACTGCTTTGCTCGAGTCATTTGTGAGTTCTGGTGGGGCTTGTGCTTCTAAGCAGTTTGGGGTAGCTTATGACGCTCTGTCCTTGAACAATCTGGACAAGTTGAAAGCTGGAATGCAACAAGCGATCAAGGTCCAGAGGGCAATTCTTAGACAAGGAAGTGCAGCAATAACCAAGAGTGGTTCTATCAGAAGTGGAAGAAAGTTCAGGTGGGTGAAGCTTGAGGATTCAGTGGATACAATACTGTTAGGATACCCCCAGGCTTTGACTAAATTCTGCTATTTTCTGATGGATGCTTTGAGAGAGAAAGGTGCTAGGGCAAAGCCTTTGCTTTGTGCCTGCTTGTCACAAGAGCCAAACAAGATGCTGATTGTTGGGGTTTGTGGAAAGCCTCGTCTTGGGGCAGTTCAAGGAAATGCATTTGGGATTGCATTCAGAAATGCAGCTGAAGAGACTGGAGCTGAGTTCTTTCATGAGCTGTTCGAATCTTCATGGATTGTTTTGGAAAAAGGCGCAGTTAATAATTTTATGATCAGATTAACTGAGAAACTGTGATATAAAACTGTCAAAGAAAAACTTTGTTGTATTTTTTTCGGGAGAGGACCTATGTTTCTCTTAGTTTTTCCAATTTTTCCTAGTGCGTTTCAAATAATTCGTAAATGAGTAATGAAAATTGATTCTATTCTGTCAAGAATAGTTTCTTTCTTATTCAAAAGCTGCTGCATTGTCATCGGAGCATTGACTACAGTAATTGCTAAAAGTAAAATCTGTTGTGGAAATGGATTTTACATCAGGTAATTGCAGTGATGTAGCTAATTATCCTTGCATCATCATAGCTGTTAGTCGAAAATTAGGAGATGTTCAAGTTAATGTTCATTGTTCAAGTACTATGCTTTCACATTGGCTTTGCCTTGTAAGTTGCTTTTGAAGTATAAGGAATTTAGGAATATGACGAAATGATAATGTTCATATAACATGATTGTGACGAATGTTTTCCAGTGATATTGTATTACTCTGCATGTTGCCAGTGCAATGTACTCAACAGGGTCCACTGGATCTCATGCAAGCTCCATTGGTGGGGGCGTTCAAGTAAGAGCTTTTAAGAAAGACGAGACAGAAAGGCCTTATTACAGGTAATGATCTTAATTGTTCCTTTATGAAGTAGGCAATATGGACCTCATGATAGCCTCGCCCTTTTGCACCTCATTGCCTGCTTGTTTTTTATGTGAAGTTTGTGTTCGCCTGTGAAACATAGCATGCAATATACTTAACATTAGCTGCCAAACCAAATGTTCAAAATCTATCCTTTTCTTACCAGCCTGTCAAAACAAGTGCTCAACATCCTTTCTTTGATTTTGTATAAAGCCTCTCATCTGACTATTTGAATATTGGGAGTAATCTTTTACCTGATGATTAACATGAGCTCAGTGTTAGCAATGTTTTGATGTTTTCTTCAATTATCTCATCAAAAATTAATCTTTTGAACAGCATGCAGTTTTGGGCCATTAAGATATCAGAACAGCAAATTAGTGTATTTATCCCAAATGTAGAAACTGTAGAAGTATCCAACTTGAATTAGGTGTGCATATTTTTAGTAAGAGCTCAAAGAAAACTACCACTTATTATTGTGAGAAGTGCTCTTTGAGTACCGGCAAATATTTTTCTCACTGAGAAGCACAAAAGCACCATTTTTTTAAAGCATAATGCTGCAAAGAATCCTATCCTAAATGACTTTAGCAAAATAAGGAGATGCTTTTGCTCACCTTAAATTTAGAGAAGGAAGAGAGGGAAATCTGCTTAGGCAATTTCTCACTGGAGTCCCAGATTCAGTGTAACCTTTCGTTTGCATTTATAAATCTTTCACTTGTTCTTTTAGCTTTCTATGAAATCATTGATTGTGCTTCTTCATCAAATTGTAGCTATAAATTGATTACTAGGTTTTCTTATCTTAAGAGCTTAGTTGTAGCATAGAATGAATAATGGAATGCAGCAGTAGCAGCTTCTCTACACGATGGCAATGAACGTTATCGAGGGATCCTATTTTTTCGCTTGAAGGAATTTGTCTAACTTATTGCGCAGCTCAATTATTGGAAAAAAATTTATGTTTAAGCGATGCTTATTGACTGCATTATCAGTCATCTCTTTTCGTTTACTGTTGGCTAATTAAGGTAAGTAGCAACTAGATGGCAATGAAAGTTTTAGGTAGTAACTTGAATATTTAAGTCCCATGCTATGGAAGTTAATGACATTATAGTTTTATGTATGTACCGTACCTAGTGTTGTTTCATGCATATATTAGTAGCGAGGGGCAGTTCGTGGAGTCCCAACTATTTGCTGCAAGTAGTGGAGTCTAGGGACTTCATTGGGAGTTTCTCACATTCACAGTCCCAAGCTAAAAATCTGCAAGAAAGTGGTAGAAAAAATTACAAACAAAATTACAAAAATTAAAAATGGCTAGAAAAATTCAATTTTGTCTGTTAATACTATCTTAGCTAGCCTGTCAGCTATAACATTCCTTACTCTATTCACTTTAGCAAAACAAATAAATCTTAAGTTACTAACAGAAGAAATAATAAAATTAAAATCACAATTTAATTTTCAAGGCCTATCATATGAATTCTTGTGAATCCAACCGATAGCATTTGAAGAATCTGATTTAACAATCTAATGAACTTGTTATGCCAGAGGATGAGAAACACTAAACTCTAGAGGGTTTTGATAGAAAGAACTTCTGTACTTTTTACTGGAGTTTTTAACACAGCTCATGATTTCTAAGAACACCACCAATACTTGAAGCACCTGTTTTTTTCCATTGACAAGGCATCTACATTCCATTTTAGAAATCGAACACTCAGCTTAATCTAACATTTAGCTACTCGATTTTGAATTTTGTTGGATCAATTATGAATACCATCCGAACTATCATTGCCTGTATATAGAAAATTATTATTTATCATTGACAATCTTTGCCTAACTGGAAACCCTATGAAAGAGAAGAGAGGGAAAATATTTCCAATAGAGATTGACATTGTTAAAAACCAAAATTATTCATTACTAGCCATAGGGTCCCATACAAAGAGAATAAGACTAAGTACACACTTTCTTTTGTAATTTTCTAAAAGAGGAGAAATCCTATTATTGGAAAAGATAATCTACATTGCTTAAACATCCCACCAACACGTAACTTTAGACCATGAACACCAAATTTGACAACAATGAAGAAGTAAATGAGATATAGTTTCTACTTCCAATTGACAAAATGGACAAACTGTCATTCTCATTCACAAAGTCAATGCCATAGAGAAAGTCTCTAGCGTGCAACTTTTCATGAACTGCCAGCCACAAGAAAGCTTCAAGTTTTTGGGCAGCTAATAATTTCCACACATGAAAAACTATAATATAGTCACTGTCAAGATTAAATTAAGAATTGAACAACAAGATTTAACAGTATAAGCTCCTCTTGTATCATCCATCTAAACCCACCGATCCTTCACTTTTTGGTACGAAACTAACACTCCTATGTTATTCAATAATTTGGCATCTAAATCTCTCTCTCATGGTTTAAAACTTTGCATCAAACCAACTTCCAAATCCATCCAGAATCACACCATACAACTATCTCAGCAATCACACTATTTTTAGTTTCTATTATTCTATAGAAAACTAGAAAAGCATAACATAATGACAACTTTCTAACCAAAATATTCGTTCTCATTTTCAATGTTGAATCTATACCCATTCCTCATGGCTATCGAGCATTGACTTGAACTCATGAACATCGAGAATATATCTGCTGAAATTAAAGAGCCAGTGGACAAGTTGTCCACGGAACCTTTTTCGTGGACAACTTGGAAGACCAGCTTGCATTTGCAAGTTGCGTCCAGCATTGTACTGCCTCAATTGAGGCGGTGCAATTCAAGGGGAGGCTAATTTACCTTATTCAAAATCCATCTATAAAAGGGGAGAAAGAGAGAGAGAGAGCCCTTAGTTCAATCCCTAAATCCTCTATCAAAGAGAGATTTGTTTCTTGAGAATATAGAGAGTGTTTTTCCTATTTCAAGAGAGAAAGTTATTGTTTTCTCTTTGTAATATAGAGAGAGGTCGTTATTTCTATTATTTCTCATAGTGAAGTCTTTCTCGTCTTGTCTCGTGGTTTTTTTTTTCTTACTTTGTTTAAAGGTTTTCCACGTAAAATCTGTATATTTAATATCGTTATTTTGTCAAATTTATGAGTCGCGAGTCCTACTCTATTCGATCAGTAACACAACAAGTGGTATCGTAGCATGGTTTTAGGTCTCGTAGAGGCGTGTTATAGTAGCAATAAAGAGTTTGTGATAGAAGCAATGGCGGAAAAGGTTGAAACTGAAAAATTCAACATGAGTAATTTCTCATTGTGGAAGTTAAAGATAAAGGCTATCTTGAGAAAAGATAATTTCCTAGTGGCCATCAATGAAAGGTCGAAAGAATACACATATGACAATAAGTGGAATGAGATTGATGGAAATGCTATTGCAAATCTTCATTTGGCATTAGTAGATTGGGTGTTGTTAAGCATAGAGGAGAAAAAAATAACGAAGGAGATCTAGGATCATCTCACTAAGTTGTATGAGGTCAAATCACTCCACAACAAAATTTTCTTAAGAGGAAACTCTATACTCTTCGTATGATGAAATCTACTTCGGTGACAGAGCATGTCAATACTTTGAATATTTTATTTTCTCAACTCACGTCGTTGGGTTCTAAAACGGATCAAAGTGAACGTGCTCGAACTTCTACTTTAAAGTCACTAGATTTGTATGATTAACTCATCATCAACTTAACAAATAATATACTTATGGATTATCTAGTCTTTGATAATGTTGCAGTTGTTATTTTGGAAGAAGAAAATCGACGTAAGAACAAGAAAGATAGGCGAGCAAGTTCACAACAAGTAGAGGCCTTATTGGTGACAAGAGGAAGATCAATGAAACGTGACTCAAGTGGGAGCCACAATCATGGTAGGTCAAAATCAAAAGGTAATAAGAATCTTAAATGCTATAACTATGGCAAGAAAAGCCACATGAAAAGTGGCTATTGGAGTTTGAAAAATTCCAATCCTTAAGGAAACATGGCGAGTAGTTCAAATGATTGGAACGCTCCGTATTGTGAAGCGAAGAACAACGCATGAAGACGAAAAAGATTTATCGATGTGTGGTCGTTCAACTCGGGAACTAGACCTCTAGAAGGGAATGGTTCTATCATTATGAATCTATCTCAATAGGAACTATGTAAAGCTATAATGATCATGCTTTAAAGGTCATCGGAGTTGGAACCATTAAGTTGAAGATGTATGATGGTACGATCCATGTTATTCAAGAAGTGTGGCATGTGGAGAGCTCGAAGAAGAACCTATTATCTTTAGGATAATTGGATGATCTTGAGTGCAAGATCGAGATAAAGAATAAGATCATGAAGATCGTTCGAGGTGCGCTTGTACTTATGAAGGGAGAAAAGATAGGTGCTAACTTATATATGTTATAGAGAGAGACTTTGCTTGGAAGCGAAGCATCGGTTGC